ATTATATTATAATCGCTAGAAGCGAGATAAGTTTTATTAATTATTACGACTAGATTAAGAGGCTATTACTAGTAGTTTATTACTAAATAATACCTTATACTAGTTGTAGGCTTGAAAGCGTACAACCACTTTCGCGCACACATCTATGGGGTGTGTCGATGGATAGAATGGGGGTGTTCGAATAATACATCCCCTCTCGAGTAGCCTTCAATATTCAGATAAGGGCTTCCTCAAACGTAAAGCTTAACAGGTCATAAGGTCAATGATACAAACACGAATACTTGCACACGAACTGATAGGGTACATCGATAATTCTTTTGTAGCATATACATAGACTGGTGCGGGAGCTCTCCTCCCAACCAGTCAAACGTCATGCAATCGCAAAATGTCTCGTCAACGCGTTGATGTTTCTTCCCCGACGCCAAACGCAGAAAACGCTTGAAAGTTAGGGGTATCGATCCAGAGACGCCATGCTCAATCCTTTGACCATGCCAATAACCCTTTTCCGTGACTCCCATATTCCATGCGTACTGATGTTGATATATGTCCGACCTTCCAAGTCCGGGCAGATACGTTCATTGATCCCTGCTCGGTCTAGATCTCGCGGTAGTCTGTCGGCCTTTGCACATTCCGTCTGGCTTGATGGCGGTGTGGATTAACCGGCTTGCGAAAGTACGCGCTGTCTTCCTCGTTGGTCGTCGGAGCGCTGAAAGTCGTCCGCTGTTGATTAGCAAATGAACCCATTCCTTGGCCATTCATGCTCTGGCCATTCATTCCAATGCCATTCATGTTCATGAAGCTATTGCCCGGCGCATTATATTGATTGTAGCCACCATTTGGCATCATACTGTTCTGGAAGCCACCCCCCGCCATGTTCATGATTTGCTGTGGAAAGCCGCCTCCCCACACGTTATTCCAGTCGTTCCCCGTGAATGATCCATTTGCCATCAGCATAGGGTTCGGCATCGCACCATTCATGTTCATTACAGGCGCCATGCTCATCGGCACGCCCATGAAGCCATTCATGTTGGGAAAGGCCATGGAATTCATCGCTTGCGGCATTGTGAAATTCCCATTCGAGAGCGAAGGTTGTTGATTAGCAGGCATGTTGGATGCTACGCCTGTCTTCTGCTGGTGGAATTCTGACTTGGTACCGTTGACAGATTTATGCTCTGGAACTCCAACAGCGGGAGCAGGTGCCTTACGCTCGTTGGCAAGCTCTGACTCGGCAGGCCGTTTCCGTGAAGTGGCACTAACGGCCTGAGATTTCTGCGGCGGCGTTGTCTTGACTGAGTCGTTGTTAGGTGGCGAGTCAACACCTTTCTGTGGCCCACCTTTGACCGGGCTCTTCGAGCTCTCTTTTCGAACCTGATCGGCAGCTTTTTCTTCCTCATAGCTTCGAACCTTGGTCATCATTTGCTCATCAGGCACTAGATCGTCAATCGGAACGTTCTCAGTAGAACACTCGGGGCAGCGCAAGTCGTTTTCGAGTAATATATTAGTGATGCAATCACGGCAAAATGTTGATTGACAGCATGGTGTCTTTGTGGGATCTACAAACAGATGCTTGTCGATCGAGCATTCTAATCCTCTGTCATGAAGCTCTTTACTACCACGCGCAGCAGCTTCCTGGGCCACGGCAGCAACCTTAGCCTTCGCCTGAAACTGCGCCCATGCTGCTTTGTCAGGTTCTGCGATGACCCATTCTCCCTCAGCATTGACCATGATTCCCGCCGGTTGTTTTGTGTCATCCATGGTACCGTCGTTGACGAGCGACGTCGGCTTCTGAATCGTTTTTAGGAATGAGCGAGGGATTCCCGTTGTGCGCTTTACACGAGGTCGACCGTCGTATGCAGGGTCGTCGTTCGTGGGACACACCATAATCCAATGGCCCTTTTCGCCACATCGGTAGCAAATATATCCAGGAGGAGGAGGATGATCTGGCAGGTTCGCCGGTTTGCCTTTATTGGGGCCAGCGCGGTGCACTGGTGTAGCACTTTCATTGATTCATTTTAGTAGTCAAACTCCTTCATTCCGTGGAAACTCGAAACTTACCTGGCCATTTCTTGTTGTTGCTGCGCCCACTGATCTGCGCCCATTTTGAACATTGCCGCGATCCTTTCCTCTTCGTTCTGGGCTCCGTTCATCGCTGTTGCCCCATTGGATGCGTTGAAAGACGAGGATTTAGTTGCGGGGGCTTCCATTCGATGAAAATTCTTCGCATTTTGAGGTATCTTGCCAGATACATATCGTGCAGCCCCTCCTCGTCCTGCTTTCACAGCAGGAAGTCTCTTCGCGATGACGGTAGTCGATCGGGGTATTATTGAGGTATCGTCATCGTACTCTGCAGCCATTTTAGAATCTCGGACATGACAAATTCCACGGGGAGCATAGTCTGCGCCGTTGGCAAACTTACCTTCGTTGGTGTCTTCAGAAGTTATGATCAATTCAAAGTCTGTACCATCACCAAGTCGATTCATGGTTATGATCTCTCGTTTCAATTCGAAGACCGAGATGCCAGTCCCATCAAAGGCTACCCTAGATGGCTCCCTTTGAGATTTGAAGCGGAAGAACACGGAAGAGGACATGATGCTTAGGATCTAAATCACAGATAGTTCAGATAGGGAGGCTTGTTGAGCGATAATAGCGTCCGAGGAAAGCGAAACCGGGTGTCGTCTGCAAGGGTCTAGGTCGTGGAGGCTCAACAGCAGTTGGTGAGGTCGTAGACCCACTCAAGAACGATCTTAGGACGTCGAACGGCAAGATTCAAGATTAGTATTCTGAACAAGAGATTAATTGTGTCTTGCAATATCCTAAAGCAGTCTGTTCTTGCGAGCACAAATCGTTTTCTTGGATTTTGAGCGCTGGATGAGCACAAGCACAGAGTTCGCAGTATGCCTGATTACAGAAACCTCTGACTCGTATACACAGCAGAAACTCCGAAAAAGAAAGAATTTGAATGTTAAACAGTGGACAGCAGTCCCTAACAGCATCAAAAACCCCAGGCACGAATCCAATGCCAGCAGTATTTCCCTCCTCCAATGTCCTCAACCAAGACCAGGATATTAACAGGCCTTGACCTTCTTGTGTTTGGATTGATATGAGTATGATAGTATGTGCTAGATGACTCAGTCGCGAGTCGATATCGAGCAGGGAGCGGGTGAGCGGGTGAGCAGAATGACGCCAACGTAGAGTCGATCTGGACTGGACAGTGGAGAAAGAGGCGAAGGTCAAGATGTGTCTGGGATGGGTGTCAAATCAGCGTGATGTACGCTGCTGTTGGTGAAGATTGGTTGTGGATTGATGGATGAAAGGAAGGAAGAAATGAGTTGGAAGAAAGAGAAAGAAAGAGAATGGAAGAGGCGTGGGTGGCTTGGCGCTATGTCAAGTGGCAAGTTTGCATGACTCAGCATGGCCTTGCCGCCTTTCAATTTTTGCCTCAGTCCCTCAGCTAAGGGCCCCTTCGGTAACCACATATTTTCAAATTATGCCAACATATTTTCAACTTAGCGTACTATATATACACGGTTATATTCGATAATTATATTTTTACTTATTAGACTATATTACATATTAAAAATAATATAAATTATAAATTAACTTATAATTTAAGGTCTAATATACGCTAAGTATATAGAAATAATAAACATTTATAACTATAATAGCTATATTTTCATTATAAATAACTCTCTATTTAAAGAGATAGCTATAAGTATTATTCTTATTACTATTTAATATTATTCTTCTTATTATAATAAGTAAATATAAAGAATATCTATTTTATTTAACTATATCTATTAAAGAAGTTCTAAATAACTATTATATAGTTATATAAAGTACTTTTTATATATCTTTCTATATATTAATAGATAGAAAGATAGTTATCTAACGAGAAAGATTTTTTCGACTATTCTATATTCGATTCTTACTTAGCGAGATTATAGAATTATCGAACGAAATCGTTATAAGATAGTAAAGTCTCTTTTAATAAAACTACGTAGTAGCTATATAATTATAAGATCTAGATATATAGTTAATAGAATAAATAGATTAGTTATTAAATAAACTAATAACTAAAAAAAAAAAAAAAATTATAAGTATTTAAGACTTTATTAAGTATATTAAATATTTATTTTAATTATATAGCTTATAATCTAATAAGTAATATAAGCGAGCTTATTAATTCGCTTTAAGTACTTTTACTCTTATAATTATATTTCCTCTTAGAAGATATAATCTCTAAATCTTATTATTATTATATTTTATAACAAGTAAAAACATATGAATTAAATTTATAAAGTTGAATTTTTCTAAGTTAAATTAAATTTTAGTTTTAGCTCTAAGTTAAATCGAACTCTAATCGCTTATTATACGTTTTTAATCTATATATAAATATAAATATATAAAAAGAGGCGTATTAAGGTCTAATTAGAAAGATATATTAAGTATAAAGAATTAATCTATAATAATTATTTATAAAAAATAGAGAAAGACTATATCTTTATAATAATAAGTTTTAAAATATTAAAAAGAAATAAAGATAATATATTAATTAGTAGTATAAATTCTATATTATCTTCTATCGTAGTAAAATCTTTTAAATAATAAAATAGCTATTAGAGTAAGATATCGAACGATTTTAATTTATTTAAATATATATTATTTTAATTTTTTTTAGAGATTTAATTAGCTATAATTATTATAATAAATTCTTCTCTTATAATATTATTATAATAATATATTATATTAATATAATAAAAATAATAAATTAAATTATAATAATATTCTTCGTTTACTAAGTAATAATTTAATAAAAAATTATAAAGAGTATATAATGCGAAATTTTAAGAGAGCTAAGTTATATTCTTAATAATAATAATTTTATTATCGCCAGCTTGTTTCTCAGCAATCTCAGGTCACTATAACATCTATTACTCATTTTGTTCACAGTCACTTCACATTCAAAATTTTTATTCCAGCAGGAGATTTCTTACACCACTAATAGCAGGTGCATTCCTTCCTTTTAAAAGCACAATGCAGATCTCTAAGGAAGATTAAAAGATCCAGGAACCAAGGCCACAGCCACCGCACACAATGGCCAGACACATAGATAATCAACATCTTCTAAAAAACATATTCTCTATAAAATAATGATTCCTTAACAATTAGAGTAAGATATCGAACATTTTAATTTATTTAAATATATATTATTTATAATATTTCTTTTATAGAGATTTAATTAACTATAATTATTATAGTAGATTCTTCTCTTATAACGTTATTATAATAATATATTATATTAATATAATAAAGATAATAAATTAAATTATAGCGATATTCTTCGTTTATTAAGTAATAATTTAATATAGAATTATAAAGAGTATATAATATAGAATCTTAAAGAGCTAAGTTATATTCTTAATAATAATAATTTTATTATCGCTTAATTTCTTTATAATATTCTTTATAATATTCTTTATAGTATTCTTTATATTTATCTATTATAATTTCTTCTCTTACTTCTTAATATAATAGAGATAATAGATTAAATTATAATAATATTCTTCGCTTACTAAATAATAATTTAATATAAAATTATAGAAAATATATAATATAGAATTTTAAAGAGCTAAGCGTATTTTTAATATTAGAAATCTTATTATTACTTAATTTCTCTATAATATTCTCTATAATATTCTCTATAATATTCTTTATATTTATTTATTATAATTTCTTCTCTTACTTTTTAATATAATAGAGATAATAAATTAAGTTATAATAATATTCTTCGCTTATTAAATAATAATTTAATATAGAATTATAAAGAGTATATAATATAGAATCTTAAAGAGCTAAGTCGTATTTTTAGTATTAAGAATTTTATTATCGCTTAATTTCTTCGTAGTATTCTTTATATTTATCTATTATAATTTCTTCTCTTTTTTTTTTTTTTATAAAGTATTAGATTAAGTAATTAGCTAAGTAATTAATTAAGTAAATAATTAATATAATATAAAATCTTAAAGAGCTAAACTATATTCTTAATAATAATAATTTTATTATTACTTAATTTCTTTATAATATTCTTTATATTTATCTATTATAATTTCTTCTTTTATTTCTTTTTTTATAAAATATTAAATTAAGTAATTAGCTAAATAACTAATTAAATAAATAATTAAATAAATAATTAATAATTTAATTAAGTAAATTATTAAGTTAATAGAGTAGATAATATTAATTAAATAATTAATTAAGTAGTATATAAGAGAGAATAATAGCTATAAATTTATTTAGACTCTTTTTAAAAGCTTTCTAACGCGTTTATAAATAATAATAAATAGCTATTAAGCTCGCTTACGGTCTTAATTATTAATAATAATAAATTCGCGTTAATAGAGACTCTAAGAGGTAAATAAAAGAAGTATATATATCTAAAATATTTAGTAATATTTTCGCGAGGAATATCGAAAACGATTATATTTATATTAATAAAATTAATAAAATTAATAGAGTAATAAAAGAATAATAATTATATAAATAAATAAAAGAATTATTATCTAAACGCGTTTAATATAATTATAATATTTAAATATTTATTTAATTTATTAATAGTAGATTAAACTTCGAAATTTTTATATTATTAGAAAGCGTAAACTGAGCTTTATAATTTACGAAATTATAAAGTAATAATATTTATAAAGAGCTAGTTATTTTAGAGTATAAAACTTCTATATATAAATTTTTAATAAGAAAGTTTAAAAAGACTATTAAGCTAATTTAGTCGGTCTAATTAAAAAGCGTAATAATTCTAAATTAATAATTAATTATATATATAAATTTAAGATTTTATAGCTTAGCTCTATCTTATTCTTTTATAGTTACTACGCTCTTTAATTAAATTAACTAAATTAATTTAATAACTCTTTTATATTTTCTTATTAAAAATTTATATATAGAAGTCTTATATTTTAAAGTACTTAGCTTACAAAAAAAGTAAATTGAAATAGCGCGTTTATCGAAATTATAAAATCGTCGAATTAGTAAATCTAATTAGAATTCGCAAATTATCGATTTAGTAAATCTAATTAGAATTTACTAAATTCGCCGATTTAATAACTATTTTAATTTTTTCTATTAGTTCTATTAGTTTAAGTAATATATATAAAAAAAAAGAAAAATATTACGATAATAAGATTTTATAGTAATAAATATTAACGCTAACTTAAATTTAACTATAGAATTAAACGATTTAATAAAATTAGTCCTAGATAATACCTAATATACGTATAATAATACATATATTAATAATAATATATATTAATATTATATATATATAGAATAGTACTTAGAATATATTAAAGTATATTACGCAAAATTTTAAAGTTACTAAAAATTTTTAAAGTTACTAAATTAATAGAACTGCGAAAAGAGTTAGAATAGTTATTAAACTAACGAAAAAGTTAAATATAGATAAAGTCTATTAAATAAACTAAATCGACTTAAATACGAACAAATTATACAAAAGAAACTTTCAGATTTATAGATGTTTACGATAGATATAGTTATTTTATAATTTCTTAAATTA